ACTTTGTTTTTTTCATATCTCCTTTACATTTATCGTGCTTATGTGAAATCCTGTTTGAGTACCATAAACCAACTACTGCCCTCAGTCCTATTCCACACCACTGATTAGTTAGGGGTATTGGCCTGACTTTTGAATTGCATTTTTTTGCAATAATGATTCATGTATTGAGATCCGGACCACAATATATTCCATGCTTTCTCTCATATTTAGTTTGTTTTGAACCTGAATGGAGCTTGTCTGAGAATTATTCTCACAGCACCTGCAGAGAGTCTGATAGAGTAAAAACATCTCTGATTTATGAACCTTTATCGCCTTAATTGTAACTTTAGGTAGTATTGTGCTTGTATTGACTTTAATCAGGTAGGCATTTTCAGTCTGCAATTTATGCGCCTTCTCCAAAACCTGGGTCTAGTAAAATTCTGTTCATTTTAGTAAGCTCAACTTATAACAGTCCAAATACATAATATAGTAACACTAAATTCTACTAAAAATTATGCAAAGGGCTATGCTCAGGCTAGTAGTCTCACAAGTTGTTGGCACTGGCTGTATTTTATGCCAAAATTAGATTCATCAGATATTACATTTCTCCATATAGTATTTGTTAAAAGGAAACTGTCCCACATTCTGAAGTGGTCAATTTAACTGCTGGACCATTGGCCCGTGGCCAGGGAAGGGAAGTCCTTCAGTGTGTTTAGCTGCAAGACGTTCCCATTTGTGTTTCAGAGAGTATGCAACAAGTGAATCAAGCACTGGTAGTATCTCTACTTGTTTCAATCCCGAAAGAACAATGTTGTTTAATTGGACATCTATTTTTACATCAACTGGTCTTAAAACGAAGCTATGGTGGCAAATGGGCCCAGGATATATATATATATCAGGATAAATTGGAGATTTGATACTATGGATAACCTGGGATGAGGCTAATGTCGATTGCCACAGATGCAAAATACCTTAAATAGGTTTCAGGATCAATAATGAGTGCCTAATGGCATGTATTGTTGGAGGCTTTGAAATGAATGAAACTGATGAAGATCATTAGGAAGCTATGGGACATATTGAAGGTGTATTTCAAGATCAATAATCTAGATAATGAGTGCTACAGACATGTTAGAATAATGTGAATAAGAGACCATTGGTCACACCTTGGAATCAACTGTGGAAATGATGTCTACTACTGTATTTAATTTTATACCATTTACCATTGTAATAGTCTGATAATGATATATGTATGCAATTTAGTTATATTGAACTCTGCTGTTGAACAATGTTTAAGGGTCAGTGGCTATAAACAATAAAGAGGTGTGAAATTTTGTCTTTGACCCCAAATCCTCAATCCAAAGGTTCCTAATATGAAACGTAAACCACCTAACGTAATTCAGGAAAGTTCACGAAAATTTACAAATTTCGCGTTGGTCTTTACCTTGGTATGATTGAAAACATCAGGAAATGTTTACATTGTAATGTGTAGTTTTCTGTCAGGAATAAATGTGTGCAAAATATTTCTTCACATTGCCCTTGTTTAATGAGGCACCGACGGTTTGAAATTGTTCTCGATCTTTACAGCACCTTATGCTAAAATAATTCAGCAGGCTTAAGGTTTATAATAAAGGGTAGGTATAGTCAACATAACAACTTGCAGAGTTTAATACTTTAGGGGATACCTAATGATTCACCAAAATCAAATTTGAAAAAGGGAAATACTGTAAAATAGATGATAAAAAACACAACAGGAAAAATCCCCTTCATGTTGGTTAAAATAGGTTACTGATGTTTGGCTCGTTGCGCAATTTCATCGATATGTCCCGGCACCAAGTCTACCTGGTGGTTAGGGGTCTTCCTACTTGTCCAGCACCTACTGTTATGGGTACACCCGAGCGTGGTGATGGGTACAACAATAGGGGATTTAGGGGGCATCTCACGTAAGACAAGTACTTGATGAATATGTCACAAAAATTAACGATACAACTAATTGGTGAACTCTATTCACATACAATGTTCTGAGTGAAAACATAGAATATATATCAGTGAGTGAGTGTACATTTTAATCATTTAGTACGATTTGGGCTATTAAAGGAATTACAGACAAGAAACAGAAATCCACTGTGGCAAATGCAGATTCATTTACAGTTTATTCTCAATTCTAAGAGGGATGAGTATTTGTTTTTTGCCGGGTACAAGTTCAAAATTAAAACCAGATGTCAAACTTCCATTCATTGGAAATGTTTCCGAAGAAGATACCCAGCCAATATTAACACAGGAGATGACTTTGTCACGAAGCACTTGGCAGTGTAATGACACCACAAATCATTTCTTGGGTTGGCATCCAAATACAGTCAAACATCATTCTGTTGAACTTTGATGTGTCAAACTTACAGTTGTCTCAAAGTAAAATCTTGGTCCCTGCATATTCCAAACACATTAAAATCAGATCTTACATTACGGGTCATGTCAGAACGACTTTTTATCCGACCAATCAAAGCGTGGCTTACCAGATCATGAAAGTGATAGTTGGAATGTGTTTACTAATCATGCAACCTTCAAAACGTTAACACGGGGTATTCTGAACGACAGTTACGGCACGTACGACTGATTCCATCAAACTTATTGTCTGTTTCTCGCTTCCATGGGATAAACATTTGAATGGAGGATGCATTGCACAGTACGTGGGAAGCACTGCTATACAATCTCAACCATATATTAGACATTCCAGAATGTTCGTTTGTTAAGTTTTCAAAATTTTCATTGAGAACTGTGTAAACATATTTTTCAAGCGTAGTCTGAAATGGAAGTCACCAGGTTGAAACGAGTGCCGTAAAGCCCAAGAAAGCTGCTTGGCTGATGTTGACTTCTTGTTAGTCATTTCAGTGATCAGTCAAGTTCGCGAAAAGTCGTTCTTACATGACCGTAATGGGATTTCCTCAGATCTTTGTTTAGCGGCAGTGAGAACTTAGATCTGATTTTAATGAGATTGTGCATATTCCTTTTTATCCATAATTTTCTTTGTGTCGAACCTCGGATAATTCAAAGTATTTATGAAGGTCACTTCAACTCCGATACAATGGTGTTTGACTGTATGTACAAATTCATTGAGATACTGCAGGTTGAGCAGGATAATACTGCGATCACAGTCCAGGTAGTTTGATGACACCCAAGAAAAAGAAGTATCGAAACCTAGCCTATGCCCTTGAGAGGAAGAAGACACAGCTTCTTGCCAACGAGAAACCAGGGAATGTTTATCACAATGCTGTTTCACATCAACTTGGACTTGAATTATGGAAATGTCAAATGTGAAATTAGACAAATAAGACAATATTTACTACAGTGCAGTTGTTTATTTTATATCATGTTTTATTTTAATATAAACAAATGGTCTACGAAGGGATATGCACTTTTCAAGAATAGCTATTTTGCTAACGATAAACATCATTATTAAGGTTTGATCACATGCCTACAATCCAGATACGAATCGACAGTCTGGTGACTGCAAGCGGTTATATTTAGCAGTAACCTTGGTCAATAGCACATTAAATTTTTTATCTGCACAGGCTTTTTCTTTTAGTTTGTCCTGGTAATGTACGTGCGCTGTAGACACTGGTAAATATAGCAGGAAGTGAGTTTCTTGTGGACTACTATTTTTATACCCCCGACAAAATGTCGGGGGTATATAGTTATACCAAGATTCCGTCCGTCCGTCCGAAAACTTTGTCCGCGCGATTTCTCTTAAACTTTTCAGTGGATTCATCTCAAACTTAGTACATATAATCTGTGTCATATGGAGGGGTGCAGTCAAAAGAAAAAAATTGTTTTTATTAATTTTCCGTTTTTTATTAATTTTTCAAACCCTAGGCTAACCCTATCCTAGCTATTTAATTTGTAACTACTGACACACTAGGCGGGTCATGGGTATTAGTGAGCCATGCTCACTTTTGCACTTGTTACTATTAGGATGATGGCAATTCCGTAGCAGATTATGTTTGGGGACTAGTTAACATGGTGCAAATATCAATTCATTTCTAACCCTCCGTACTTCTTTTTTATTCCATGTTCATGATATAGATACAAAGCTTCATGATGCTCATATGGGCAGTTGCAAGACTTGCATGGCTTCGGTATGTCATCTTCCCACGGCAAAGGTGTTAACTGACTTTATAAAAATCCAGTTTCTACTTTTATAAAGTCGGTTAACACTTTTGCCACAGGAAGATGTAGGTTTGCTAGAATCCTATGTTTGTATGTTGGAATCCTAAATATGCCTTGATTATGTTTCTTGGCATGTCAGACCATATCTGTGCTCATGTGTTTCACCAAAGTTGTAAAATCTAGGACCTGGTTGTACATGTTGTATCATTTTGGGACTTTCGTCCAAAATTAAGCTGACATGCTATTAAATAACTGAAGTACTGTTCACACTTGTGGTTAGACTCACTCACTCACTCACTCACTCACTCACTCACTCACTCACTCACTCACTCACTCACTCACTCACTCACTCACTCACTCACTCACTCACTCACTCACTCACTCACTCACTCACTCACTCACTCACTCACTCACTCACTCACTCACTCACTCACTCACTCACTCACTCACTCACTCACTCACTCACTCACTCACTCACTCACTCACTCACTCACTCACTCACTCACTCACTCACTCACTCACTCACTCACTCACTCACTCACTCACTCACTCACTCACTCACTCACTCACTCACTCACTCACTCACTCACTCACTCACTCACTCACTCACTCACTCACTCACTCACTCACTCACTCACTCACTCACTCACTCACTCACTCACTCACTCACTCACTCACTCACTCACTCACTCACTCACTCACTCACTCACTCACTCACTCACTCACTCACTCACTCACTCACTCACTCACTCACTCACTCACTCACTCACTCACTCACTCACTCACTCCAAGCCCGTACAATGTCAGTTCATGTTTACTGCTTGGATTGATTGACCTAACAACACCTGTCTTGTTTGTAGATCAACTTTCTGCTGTGTCAGCTGATCGGACTTGGGTTGGCTATCCCCTTCAGGAAAGTGTATGGCCCTAAGACGACCAGTGCGACTATCCGGCATACCATAGAGATTGTTGTAGGATTTGCTCTCACATTCTTCTGCTTTGGATAGTAAGTACCAGAGCAACAAAGGAAATACTATGTACCTGAACTCGTCATGAACATGATGAAGGCTTAACTATTTGATTTGTGAATGTTTCCAAGAGTTTTATCCTCATGATCCTAGTATAGCTATATTGACCATGTTGGCAATATGGAGGGACATTGACATTTGTGAAAAAATCAGATGTTGACCTAGTGGACCCTGGAAAAGTAAAAATTGTAATAAATTCTCTGTATTATCGTTATTATGATGATGTTAAGAAAGCTCTTTGCCTTTCATGCTTATTGTACTCGAATAAGTTCTTGAATAATGTTCTCGGAATAAAATATACAGTAGACTATGTTTATGACAAACACGCTTATAATGAACTGACGGATATAACAAGCTGGGTTTTTTTTTGTCCCGACCATTTGTTGTATTTATGATGTATATATGTTTATGACGAACTACGGTTATAACGAACTAAAATTAATGGTCCCTTTAAGTTTGTTATAACCATAGTTTATTGCACTTTCAATTATATCCTCATGATCAATGATGATGATTATAATTTTATTTTTTTAAACTTTGCAAAACGTAAAACCTTAAACATGTTAAACAATATTAAGACCTGTCAAATAAGGAGAACAGACCGAACTGTACAGTAAGTGCAAATACCTGCTTCATGGCTTTTTATCATAATCACTGAGTGCATAGGTTTGTAGTAGATCAGTTGGAGAATCAGTCTGATCACATAATTATATACGTCTTTCGGAAGAAGAAGAAAGGATTTATGTTAACTAGAGCTATTGACTTTCATTGATATTAAAGTGTTTCTTTTCTGCCAAGACAGTTGTAAATTTCGGTTGTCACTGTTGTTTGTTTCAGTCAAATATGGCATCTGTTCTTCTTGTCACTGGTGTGCTACCTCATCATGCTGATGGGCAGTCAGGAATGGATGCAGAAGGCAGTGTTTGGATTTGCCATGCTCTACCTCTCAGTCACACACATCTTCCGGCAGATCTACGACTACGGAGGATATACACTCGACATCACAGGGTCAGTCGCCACACACTGAACATTTCTGTAAAATCATGGTGAATGGTTGTAAATAATTCAATTATTAGAAACTGTGTATGTCTCAGATTTACAGTTGAACACAGATATAACGAACCCGGATATAGCGAACAAACGGATACAACGAACTGTTAAAAAATCCCCGATTTATCTCCTCTATAATATCATATAAAATTTACGTATATAACGAACTCTCTACAGCGAACTAATGGATACAGCGAACTGATATCTGATCACCAACAAGCCCATCTATCACTAATTAGTGAAGTGTATAGCGAACTGAGAAATCTCACTCAGTGTCAAGTGTCACTGACAATTGGCTGTACTCAATCAGCGGCGAATCAACACAATGGCGGCGAATCAATTCAATCAACGGTGACGGATCAACCTTGTTAAATTTGCATTGTGTTAATCTTCCCTGTACATGTAATCTTGTCTTTATAACAAACATTAAACATATACAATTTTATACAGTTCACTTGCATATGCTATCATGGCGGGCAATAATAAGAGGAAAGCTATCAGTTTAGACACGAAATTGAGAATTATTAATGCTGTTGATGCTGGCATAAAAACCAAGAAAGACCAAAGCTGACGAACTTGCAGTGAAATTAGGTCATGAAGATTTCACGTGTAACACTGCAATTACGTGTATTGTGTTTTGTCTTATCCAAGATGGCGGATGTTTCCGAGCAAAAACATGTATAACGAACAACGGATATAACAAACTGACTTCTCTGGTCCCTTGTAGTTCGTTATATCCGTGTTCTACTGTATATTAAAACTACTTGAAAATTATGACTTGTTATTGTTAAATCCGGATTATTTGGATTGGCCAGTTTTGGTCATGTTGGTTTTAAAGACATTTCCAAGATGATACTGTTTATATCATTATTGTTTTACCTGTGATATGTTAACCTGGATTGGATATGTAGATTGGACAACAAATTTTATGCTGGCTGCAAGACAACTAAACACCAGGTCTTGAAGCAACTGACATGCCCTTGGAGATACATCTTTCACTGAGTTAACCATTCACACGACCTCACCCCTCTTAATATTTTCTCATTGAATTTACACAATTCGCATTAAAAAAATTGAAATAAACATGGAGAAGGGGTGAACTTTTGACTAACCAGATGGGTCACCTACTTTACATTTGAGCAAGCCCTTCGTAAAAACTGGCCATGGGCCTGCGAAGTTTCTGCTTTGATTGCCCTTGTTTTAGCTCACCCAACTGAAAGCAAGTGAGCTTTTCTCGAGGCCTGCTTCAGTGCTTAACTGTTGACCTTTGGCCATGCTTACAAACATCTTCTGTGAAACTAAAAGTGTTGCCACATCAGTCTAGTCAGCAAGAGAGTAATCATGGCTACTTAACTCTGCTGCCTTCCCTTCCTTCAGGCCAATGATGATCATGGTGCAGAAGTTGACAAGCCTGGCGTTTTCCATCCATGATGGCACAGTGAAGTCCGAGGAGGAGCTGTCTGCAGACCAGAAGAGTCAGGCAGTCAGGTGAGTCCATGCTACTCCGAGTATCCTACAGCATAGATGGGATTGATGCATAACCATGATAATGGAAGTGAACTGAAAGAAACATGCCTTAATTAAAAGCCGGCCCATGAAGATCCCAGGTTAGAATTGGTCTTCAGCAACCCATGCTTGTCGTAAGAGGCGACTAACGGGATCGGGTGGTCAGGCTCGATGACTTGGTTGATACATGTCATTGTATCCCAATTGCGTGGATCAGTGTACATGATATCAATCACTGTGTTGTGTGGTCAAAACTGGATTATTGACAGACTGCCTTCATATACCTGAATATTGCTGAGTGCGGTATTAAACAACAAACAAACAATTAAAAGCCATGCTTTTTGTAGAAGCATCGCTAGATCATGTGGATAGTCACCCTTGAAATAGGAATAATGTCAAAGTCTGTCCCTTAACATATTTGTCTTTAAACTGTGATAGGATATGCGCAAGACTCTTGATACTGTTGAATAATTTTCTGATTGTAAGTGTCTATATCATGTATATATACTTTGTAAACAGCTGAGATATCATCATCATTTTGCTGCCTGTCTACTCCACTGTAACCATGGTAATGCTTCTTTGTTTCCCAGGAGCATGCCAAACCTGGTGTCCTTCTACAGCTACCTCTTCTCCTTCCACGGCATCATGTGCGGCCCCATGGCCTTCTACTCCGACTACATCGCCTTCATTGAAGGACGGAACTTTAGTGAGCCCACAAAGCCATCCTCTGTCAATGTAGGTTGAAAAATGAAGATATTATCATTGATGAGTCATCCAGGTTGAATGGCTAAGCTTCTTATAAAAGAATTTTTAATGGTTTCATTTTACGCTATATATTTTCTTTGTATTCATGCACATGATGCAGGTCATGATGATTATACTGACACATGGCCTTTGACATCGTATTGATTATACTGACACATGGCCTTTGACATAGTATTGATTATACTGACACATGGCCTTTGACATCGTATTGATTATACTGACACATGGCCTTTGACATCGTATTGATTATACTGACACATGGCCTTTAACATATTGATTATACTGACACATGGCCTTTGACATCATATTGATTATACTGACACATGGCCTTTGACATAGTATTGATAATACTGACACATGGCCTTTGACATAGTATTGATAATACTGACACATGGCCTTTGACATCGTATTGATTATACTGACACATGGCCTTTGACATCGTATTGATTATACTGACACATGGCCTTTGACATAGTATTGATTATACTGACACATGGCCTTTGACATCATATTGATTATGCTGACACATGGCCTTTAACATAGTATTGATTATACTGACACATGGCCTTGTTGACATAGTAACTATTATACTGACACATGGCCTTGATGACATAATATTGATTATACACACACATGGCCTTGATGACATAGTATTGATTATACACACACACATAACCTTGATGACATAGTATTGAGTATACACACATATGACCTTGATGACATAGTATTGATTACAACTGACACATGACCTTTGTCATAGTATTGATTATACACACACATGGCCTTGATGACACAGTTTTAATTATACTAACACACTGCCTTGATGACATAGTATTGATTATACACACACATGGCCTTGATGACACAGTTTTAATTATACTGACACACTGCCTTGATGACTTAGTAGTGAGTATACTGACACACTGCCTTGATGACACAGTATTGATTATACTCACACACTGCCTTGATGACACAGTATTGATTATACACCATATGGCCTTGATGACACAGTATTGATTATACTCACACACTGCCTTGATGACACAGTATTGATTATACACACACATGGCCTTGATGACACATTATTGATTATACTGACACACTGCCTTGATGACACAGTATTGCTTATACACACACATGGCCTTGATGACACATTATTGATTATACTGACACACTGCCTTGATGACACAGTATTGCTTATACACACACATGGCCTTGATGACACATTATTGATTATACTGACACACTGCCTTGATGACACAGTATTGCTTATACACACACATGGCCTTGATGACACATTATTGATTATACACACACATGGCCTTGATGACACAGTATTGCTTATACACACACATGGCCTTGATGACACAGTATTGCTTATACACACACATGGCCTTGATGACACAGTATTGCTTATACACACACATGGCCTTGATGACACAGTATTGATTATACACACACATGGCCTTGATGACACAGTATTGCTTATACACACACATGGCCTTGATGACACAGTATTGATTATACACACACATGGCCTTGATGACACAGTATGGGTTAGACATGCTTGTGATGAAAACATGTTACTTTTCAAACATTGTTATAAATACACAGATACCATTACTATGAAACATACCGGGATAATATGGACAATAAAAGAAGAATGTATGATCACCTCAACCAAACACTTTGTTTAGATTTTTTTTCCAATACCCGTGATTTGCTTCCAATGAAGAAGTCATTATTTTGGTAAACTAGGAAGTACTATTTGTGTTTCAGGGAAAGTCGGACAAACTACCAGGCGAAACAGAGGATATATTCCAGACAGATGTAAGATACAGTTTCTACTGGCTTATAGAAGTTTTGCAGTGCATCATAATCAGATGCAAGATATGAACAGTTTACTGGCAATACCTTCAACATTTTAAAATAACTGTTAATTTGTGTCATTCTTCTTCTGAACATGATCTCAGAACTGCACAGATATCATCCATCAGCACAGTGACATTGACAATAGGGACGTTGTGTACAAAGTCTTTTGTTAACATATCAACCAGTCACTTGTTTTTGCTACAAGACATTCAAAAATTCAAATTATCTGGTAATCATGGAAGTTGTTAAACATGTTAAAGGTCAAAGAAAATGAAGTTTATGTTTTGATGGTTATTGTATTGTGAAGCTGATATTGTGATGCTTGTGCTTATCATGCTTATTGCATCATTGACCATCACACCCTTCCTCCTTAACATGTGACTCTCTAAAATGTGATAGCAGTCTTAAACAAGTAGTAATGGACATGTATTTTTTCATCTGTTTGTGTAAATTCACATACAAAAAACTGATTACTTCTTAACCTGACACGAGACATTGCAATTTAGTTCTTTATCGTCATCATATGACACAAAACCCAAGACATGCCTCTTCTCCATCCAGGTTGCCCTTGGTTACCATCTTGAGTTCTTATCCTAAATCTCTTAATTTCTCTCATTGCACAAGAGGATAGACATGTGCTTGCCTTCATGAATTTATATCCATATGTATATATATATACCCATCTTCCTAAGGCAAGGGGGGCGGTCAGGTAGCCTAGTGGTTAAAGCATTCGCTTGTCACGCCGAAGACCCGGGTTCGATTCCCGACATGGGTACTATGTGTGAAGCCCATTTCTGGTGTCCCCCGCCGTGATATTGCTGGAATATTGCTAAAAGCGGCGTAAACCCATACTCACTCACTCACTCCTAAGGCAAGGGCGTTAACTGGCTTTCAATAATTTTATTTCCAATACATATAGGCCACAGGCACGATAACAAGATAACTGCATTATCCCCAACCTTAACATCAAACATGTACTTCGCTAATTGAGCTTTAACTAAAACTGGTAATCCCCCAGAATATCAACCATACTGAGATAACTAATTTAGTGGTAGAGAAATGACCTTATAGTAAGGAAAGTGAGTGCTAATGAAACCAATTTCTGATGTCCATGTTTCATATATCGAGATGACCTCATGGTTGTATATGAAAGAGCAAAAGTCACTATCCTTAAGTTTATTTAGTAACCCTCCAATATTCCAGGAGAGAAATCTTAGGAGTTGTGTAAAGCATCACGGTCACAGCCTTGGCCACACACCTATCTCCTTAACTATGAGCAGAGTTTGACTTGGTTCTAGGGCGTAGTACACAGTCTTGGTCCTGATCCCAAGGGGTCTCTGTAGGCGGTGGTGATTGTCTGTTATCTGTCGTCTGCTCTGTTGGTGACATATCTTCGACCAGCAGTTTGCCACCTTTGAAGTAACCTCGCTTGTTATCAGCATGTAGGGCCCGTAATATATTATGTAAAAAGACACATTTGTTCCTTGGCCGTGTGAAGCAAAAGAAGTACTTTTGGGAAAATCAGTTGATATGGCAAGACAGATAGATAGAGAATACTACACTCATTCTCGTGAGATGCCAATTTTACGAAACGAGGGGACTTTCTATGGTATCTGACCGAGCAAAATTGCTTATGGCATGGGATCTTAATACTCAATACCCGTGCAGATCTGGGTTAGAATAGGTCTTCAGCAAGCCATGCTTGCCATAACAGGCGACTATGCTTGTCGCAAGAGGCGACTAATGGGATCAGGTGGTCAGGCTCACTGAATTGGTTGATATATGTTATCGTATCCCAATTGTGTAGATTGATGCTGATATCAATCACTGGATTGTCTGGTCCAGACTCAATTATTTACTGACCGCCATCATATACATGTAGCCGGAATATTGTACAAAACTTAACACTCAGCACAGTCAACCTGGTCCATGGATGTCAGCAACAAAACAAGCTGCAGATGCCACCCCCAACTGAGGGATAAGCATTGCAATGTGTAGTGTCAGGATAAGAAATTATCCACATGAATTTGGATATTCATGATATAAGTATATTTATCCTGACACAACAAGTCTCAGGCCCATCTGTCCCATCCCTGTCCTGTCTGGTTGTCACATTGCATGCTGATGAGACCGCAGTGATGAATCAAGGACAGATAACTCTGTTTAGTAACCAAGGACAATGGGCACCCCTGATGTAGAAGAGGCACGTTTTTGTTTCTGTGTTATATGATCGAGATGAATGAAATTGCAGTGTGTTGTGTCAAGATAAGTATATGAAGTGTATGTTTGTTTAAAAAATCTAGTTTCATATGCGACATAATTCTACCCAAAAAATCCATGTGTTTATTGTCAATGCAGTTAGTTGTATTTTTTTTCATGCAAGTAACATTTTTTAATTGCTGACATAGCTACTGTTTCTCATGAAGTAATTGGTCAATTTTCATTTTTCAGAAAGTTGTGCTGGAGAAGTTCTGTATAACAGCTTTTATTGGGTTTCTTATGGTGTTCGTCACACCACATCTCTACCATCTAAATGGCCTCACAAGTATGTACATGTATTGTTTCATTCAAGGATTTTGTATATAAATCTTAGTGAATGCTCATTTACTGCATGAGGATTATATGTTAAGGAATTTCTCCCAGCGACCTCATGCTTGTAAGCGGCGACTTGATACATTAGGTGGTCTGACTTGATGACATGGTTGATGACGCGTCAACGTAACCTGACAGCGTGCATCTTTGCAAATATTATCAGACTTGATTATTAAAAGGCCACAATTTAGCTGTAATATTGCTTCATGTAAAAAGTAAATACCAGAGATGCTTTGTGTGACGAGGTAGCCCAGTGGTAAACATGGTTCATGTGATTGCTGGGCACACTGAAGTCTGTGGTTTGATTCCCAACACCAATGTCTGGATTTCCTTGCTACAATATTGCAAAAACTTACTTACTCACATATGGTGAGTATTTGAAATATCTGTTGGTGCTTCTTTATGGAAGTGGTTCATTATGTCTCCCTCCTCCCTGAATGGAGGGGAGACATGTTGTTTTGGCTCGGTTCCTGTTGGCTTTGGCGTCAGCGTTCCCATCCCATTCTGAGCCATAACTTGAAAACCGTTCAACATGTTTCAATGAAACTTGGCGTATACATTGCTCACCAGTTTAACCAGTGACTTTCGCTATTTTGATATTTTTTTCCAAATTTTATTTTTGATGTTGCCATTGAAACAATTTCAACTAAATCTCAAACGAGGGTAGGGTTTGTTCCAGGGCCATAATTTGACAAACCTTTCAACATTTTTCAACGAAACTTGGCATATGCATTGCTCATCAGCTTAACTGGTGCCTTTTGCTATTTTGAAATCTTTCTAAATTTTATTATTATAATTTTAAGACTAATGTAAGCTATTCATATTAATTTCATGGCGCAAAGCTGTCCAGATGCAGTTAAGGCTAAAATCATTGCACAAAACACGATTTACAGCCCATCCATGGAATGTTTAAACTTGAATTTTCTTCCTTCTCATTGGCCATCATTATGGGTATGGGTGGCAGACATATAGTCCTTCATCATTTTCAGAGGTCAATGACCCTCGAAAACTGAAAGAGCACAATTTGGCAAGATGTCATTATCACCTTACTTCTACATTCCTTTTTTCCTTCAGGTTTTCAATTTGAGACAAAATAATTCTTTCTTCAAGCTATGTCAATTCAAGAGTAAACACCAGTGCTTTATGCTTATCACACAAGGCAAAACATTGGTGTCAAGGTGGGAAGACTTTTACATGTGTGATCACTCAACTGTGACTGAATGTACGCCATCACCATCTGCTTGCTTCATGTGCAGGGATGAGTGATCACACTTTGGACAGCTGGTTTGCCTGCTTCAGACTTAAATGCTTTGCCGGCTAGGAATCATCAGGGATTAAAACTTTCAATGGATTTTGTGACGGCAAGTGTCACTTAATTTGTGATACATGCCATTAGAGTGTGTCCATAAACCATATAACCCCCAAAAACTTTCAGTGTTTTTGAATAAAACAATTCTCGTCCATGTATGATATTGGTTTAATTTGATTGAATCCTGCTTCCATATGCATGAATTATCATTGCTAATGAATTTCAAGTTTGAAACATCTATTTTTTCAATGACAGTATCATAAATTGGCCAATATTCCACCAACACTTTCTAGCTGAGGTATATTTAACACGTCTCTTATTTATGTTCCAGGCACTGCATTTTATGAGATGTCTTTCCTGGGCAGACACATATTCTTGTTAGTGTCGATGACATTTGCCAGGTGTAAATATTACTTTGCCTGGAAACTAGGTGAGACAAATTTGTAAGCTTTTAAACAGATAATTATCTGAAGTCGTTGATGCATGGTAACATAAATCATAAGATTCTAATTGGGATTTTAGAGCTGAATAGGCCACAGGACTTCATCCTTGTTGTATATGTTGTATATGTTGTAAGAGTCATTGAGTTAGATTTTGATGTAGATATTGTTACATTAGGGACCAACCGTTTGATATTCTCTCTACAAATTGTTTGCCAACACACAGCCCAAATGTTCAAATGTTCATTTGTTCTCACTTACCTCCCACATTAAGCTGACACGCCGCGATATAACTTGAATACTGTTAAAAGCGGCGTTAAACCCAACTCACTCACTCATTTGTTCTAAATGATAGTGGGGCAGTTGTGTAGCCTAGTGGTTAAAGTGTTTGCTCGTCATGCCAGAGACCCAGGTTTGATTCCCGACATTGGTACAATGTACAAGCCCATTTCTGGTGTCCCCCGCCGTGATATTGCTGGAATATTGCTAAAAGCGGTGTAAAACCATACTCACTCATGCACTGTATTAGGATATGATGTCAAATGTATATTATTACATCCTGTTTTGTGAGTTATTTTACTCTGTATGTTTCAGGAGAGACTGTAAATAATGCAGCAGGGTTGGGCTTCACTGGCTTCGATGAGAAAGGCCAGCCCAACTGGGACCTTGTTAATAACTGTGATATATACAAGTTAGAAGTGAGATTCCCTTTCTTTTCTCTTTGTAAAAGGAAATTGTGGGGACTGTATTTATGTCATTTCTGATGAGTTAACATGGTCACAGATATAGTTCACCCCATGAGGATTCTGGGTTAGAAGTGGTCCCCAGAAACCTATGCTTGTCATAAGAGGCAGCTCTATGAATTGGATTATCAGACTCTGTGACTTGGCTGATTGGGGGTCAATGTACCTCAACAGCATTGATCATTGTTCATAATATCAATAACTGGTTTGCCATTACCATGATTACAATCCTTGATTATTATAAGATGCTGTCATATAGCTGGAGTCTTGCTGGTTAAGCAACAAACAGCTTTTCATTGAAATTATTGAGTGCCAAGTGTATTTTTATTGCTTGGTACATATTTAGAGATCAAGTTCTGTATGAAACCTGCTGCTGTTTCAGACATGTAATAGTTTAAAGCTGAACATGGACAGCTGGAATAAGACAACGATGACCTGGTTGAGACGGGTGGTGTACGATAGGATGCCCAAGTTCAACACTCTAGCCGTCTTCTCCGTCAGTGCTTTCTGGCATGGATTCTATCCAGGCTACTACGTGTGTTTTGCTACAGGAGCCCTCCTCACAGTTGCAGCAAGATATGTAAGTAGCAGCAACAGACCCCTAAGATTCAGGGACCAGAGCTGGCCTCTGTCCCGCATTGTTCATATTTGTTACGAATTTGCAACTAAAATACGAAAATCTGATCTCTCTAATTCACACAAATAATATGCCAACCTACGGTGGAAAAATCACAAGACGTTGGCAAAGAGAGTATAATTATTTAGCCTTACACCATCTGCTATAAATGTGGCTTGTTTATGAACCTCCTCCTTGGTCTTGTGGTAGAGCGTCAGCCCGGAGAGCGGAAGGTCATGGGTTCGATCCCCGACCGCATCATACCAAAAGACGTAAGAGATGGTACTTGTTGCTACCCTGCCTGGTGTTCGACATCAAGGGGCTAAAGTAAGGACTGGCCGGCTCAGAGTCAGTATACTATGTCTGAGTGGGGTATTGTGAGCATGGTATCTCAGTGGGTTAGCACTAGCTATGAGAGTCTGAATAAGTCCCCAGTAATGTCTGCTTATTTGATTCAGCTACTAGGGATTGGGTGGTGAGGCTCTGGGACTTGACTGTGTCATCTTGGCGTGGAGCATTGCTCATGCTTTCACTCAATGGTTTGTCTGTCCAAACTCAGAAATTTTAATGCTGCTTTGAAATGAATGAACTATTTCTGACAGTGGAAGAGCGGATGGGTAGCCTAGTGGTTGAAGCGTTCGCTCGTCACGCTGAAGGCCTGGTTCGATTCCCTGCAATGTGAAGCCCATTTCTGGTGTCCCCCGCCTGATATTACTGGAATATTCCTTACAGCAGCATAAAACAATACTCACTCACTTCTGACAGTGACGTAATACAATATTCACCCACTCACCACCAAGAGGGAAGTGCAAGTATCACACTTCCATGCAAAAGTACTGGAGTTAAAGAAAGGCATGCTTGTTCTTGAAAGAACTTGATTAAAAAGGAGTGTTTGTTCTTGAAAAGAACTTGATTTAACGTCTGAAATATCTTGATAACATACTAGGCAAGAAATTATTTGGGGCTAAGGTTATACAAAAGTCTTGAAATCTACATTTCTCTGATATCCAAGTTTCAGTCGTTGAAAACTGTAACCGGGGAAAACTGTGAAGTGGCTGAATATTGGGGGACATTTCACTGTCTCTTTGTTACTCACACTATTGACCACTGTTCAGTTACCATGGTTACTGTACTTAGCTGTAATATTCTGGCTACTGCATAATATATCATTATCTTTTATTCACCTTTTTTCAATTGCAGGTAAGAAGAAATATTAGGCCAATGTTCCTGAAATCCGATAGCCTGAAAGCCTTTTATGATGCAGTTACATTTTTGTTCACTCGCATGGCGAATGTCTACATGTGTGTGCCATTTGCCATCCTAGAGTTTGTGCCTGGTCTAAAGTTATACACGTAAGTATGCAAAGGTTTACACATGAAAAGGGGCGGTCGGGTAGCCTAGTGGTTAAAGCGTTCGCTCGTCACGCCGAAGACCCGAGTTCGATTCCCGACATGGGTACAATGTGTGAAGCCCATTTCTGGTGTCCCCCGCCGTGATATTGCTGGAATATTGCTAAAAGCGGCGTAAAACCATACTCACTCACTCACTCACTTACACATGAAACAGCTAAATGGTTTATGTTTTATATATACATAATACAAACACCAGAAGATTGCTGAACATTGGAGCAGATATTTTATAAGGGAGGGTTAATGTTTGTTAGTTACAGTGGAACATGGTTGTTACAAACACCAATATAACATACAATCTATTGTCATGTAACAAACTATTTCAATGGCCTGACCACTTTTCAAAATATACAACTCAAAAGAAGTTAAGAACCACGTGATTCTTTCATATTACCATCATTAGAAATTGGCACTAGTCCTATAGTCCTTACCAAACTGCACAATGGTTAAGGTATCATGAGGACTAGTGGAAATTTGCCATTTTAAGGGTTTTGCTATATATTATCACTATAAGGACTAGTGGACTAAAAGTGTTAGTTTCTACCACTGATTACTATAGTTAATTTGTCATGTTATAAATTAACTGTAGTAATATGAAAAAATCAGGTGGTTCTTAACTTCTTTTGAATTGTATATTACCATAAGTACTTCACACAAGTAACAAATTCTGCATAATAAAATAACCACAAGGAACTGATAACTATTGCCATTTTAACTTGATATTGCCATCGGGAATTGACAATTACAATGCATCAACATGGGTACAATATGTGAAGCCCATTTCTGGTGTCCCCCCGCCTTGAAAATGCTGGAATATTGTTAAAAGCAGCGTAAAATAATACTCACTCACTCTATGAATCAAGAGTCCTTATTGTAGCCTAGTGGTTAAAGCGTTTGCTAGTCACGCCGAAGACCTGGGTTCGATTCCCGACATGGGTACAATGTGTGAAGCCCAATTCTGGTGAACCCTGCTGTGATATTGCTGGAATATTGCTAAAAGTGGCTTTATTTTCTTAACCCATACTTACTCACTCACTTTGATACATGAACATGAACATGAATGTTTGCTTCTTTCCAGATCGTTTTACTGGTGGATGCATATACTATCCATTGCTGTTATAGTGTATTATACCTTCATTGCACCGCCGAAACGACGAAGTCAAGACAAGAAACAGCAGTGATGTGGACACATTTTAGGTTGAACCTTAGTTGATCTCCCATACCAGGAAAAGCTTTACCTCATCCCGAGGCCAGTAGGACAAGGCGAGCTGGTGGATGTACTATGGCGGGGAGGAGGATTGGCTGCACGACTGGGGTCACTGGAAGCATGTGTGTGTGTGTGTGTGTGTCTACTGTGTGAGTGTGTGAGTGTGTGAGTGACAAGAGTTTTCAAAGATACCTGATCAGGAGATTACAACATGGGGGCATATGATAGTATCATTGCACAGCTTGATACAGTGCTGTGTGAAAGAGAACCTTATCAACTGGATTGGTTTTCTAATAATTCTGAACATATCTTGAAATTTAATGCTGGTGATGTTTTTGATTTTTGTGTGTCTCACTACCCAGAAGTTTACTAGTTATACAGTGAACCCTCGATATACTGTTGTCACGGTCGAAGATCCCGACCCGCGTTCCACTAATACCAACCTAACATGAATTTGTATTTTAAGAAAAAAGACGGCTACCCTCAGCAGTGTTAAAGTTACTTTGTCTGTGTAATAGACATGTAGAAGACGTTTTTTACTTTGTTTTATCCAATTGGGCTTTTAAATCTTGAGGGTTTTGTGAAACACAAAAATAAAAAACTGTTGCCTTACCGTTTTATCTTAGGACTAAATACTGAGGAATGGCAAGAGCGTAATATATTATTCTAACTTGTTCATCAGTTAATGAGTTGCCATCTTCAGTCCCTATACATCCACTGTTATTAGAAACTTTACAAATGTCCCTGCTTATTGGTATTTGGAACTAAAGCACAGCTCACTGGAACAAACTTTTAACTCACGTTTACCATTTCCTGACCTTATCCACTTTTTTATGGGGATGGTCCTTCGAATTGTACTTACAGTTTCGGTAAGATGGTCACACATGTTATATATACTGGTGGAAAAAGGTTCCTGTGCATCACTGACTATAATGGGAAATAGTTAATAACAGAATAATTTTGCAATAGAACAAGATATTGATGTCTCTGAAACATGACTTGTCAACATATATCCTCTGTAAACGTCATCTCAGGCTGAAAGTGGCATAGGGTTAGTTGACATTTCACGAGTCGGTATCGGATATGTCCACCAACACAAGCTTGACATCAGCTTGACAACAGCATCCAATTGATGACACAAATGGTCGAGGAAGGCTGGTTGGATGCCAGTTCAGATCAGGACCAACGTCATCAGTTGGTTTGGAAGTCAGTGTAAACGATGTTTCATTTCATCCCCACATGTTCATTGGGCTCCTGATCCGGCACACATACAACGTTTGGGCCTACGTTGTCATGCTGTAAAGTGATGAGTTATCCATGGGTCTGAAGGAAGGGGAGGATGGATGACTTTGTCACAGTATTCCGTACACCTGTCAAATTGCCATGGATGACCACTAGAGGGGTCCTGTGATATGCAGTGATGCCTCCCCAAACCATTACACTCACGCCAGCAAATGCAGAATGTTGAACAACGTGTGTGTCAGTGTAACGTTCTATTCGACGTATGAAGATGAAACCTGGACTTATCTGTGAAAAGGACTAATCCTCAGTCGAGTAACCTGAACCTCAGATGTTGTCTTTGCCATGCTGGAATGGTAGGGTAGCCTAGTGGTTAAAGCGTTCGCTCGTCGCTCCGAAGACCCGGGTTCGATCCCCCACATGGGTACAATGTGTGCAGCCCATTTTCTGGTGTCCCCAGCCGTGATATTGCTGGAATATTGCTAAAAGCGATGTAAAACCATACTCACTCACTCTTGGCTGTGCCAGCTGCTGTTTGATAACATGGCAGCAAAATTGGATGTACAGCTGGACATCGTCGTCAGATTTTATGCTCTTGTACTTGATTCCTCAGTCCTTGCACTGACCATACATAAGCCAGGGATTGTCTAAGTTGCAGTCTCAAAACTATTTCACAGGTAAACAAGACTGTCTGTTACTGACCCCAGAATGACTTATGGAATTATGTTAAATACCAAAATACCTAGAACAACGTTTTGTGGAACTCCGATTTCAACCATTCCAGTCGCTGGCTACCGCTCATTTTCAGATATGCATGACATGTTTACAAGATTAGACTGTCAACAAAGATGCTTTTCCTATTTAAGACACTTCATCGATTTACTGTTTGAATTGGCTCAGTGCAACATGTTCAAGTTTTTACTCATGGCATTTTATGCATGCAATGACCAGGATGCACTTGCAATATTAGGCCATCATGGGTAATCATGACAAAGCTGTTGATTATCATGCATGATTGTGACAAATCCATGACAATCATTATATTTTAATGTGGTTTTGTTATGGTGCATAGGAATTGTTTTCCGCTAGTATATTACCAGTCAATTGCCATATAAGTCATCTTGCATGATCGTTTTGGATGTGGAATGTTTTCAGTCAGTGGTTTTGGAGTGATAAGGGATTGATATTAATGGGATTAGATAAAACTGAAATTTCAATTTGTGAGCATGATATTAATGAAACTTGAAGCCATTTGTAAGTAGCAAGCATGTCTCAGATTTTATGTGTATAAAATTTTAAGGCAAATGAAGGACTGAATCAATCTGATGGCTAAAGGGAGTTGCCAGTGTGTTGTCATGACAATCAAATTTCCAATATGTCCGTCGCAAGCCTCCGATGACTTGTCTGCACCAGTTCAGAGACAACAATACCATGCTGGTCAGCCATTTGCTTCTGCTGCCATTTATTTTAGTTATCTTTCCATGTTTAGACAGAAAATAGATCCTAACACAAAAGTATGAACTTTTTGTATCTTTACATAGATTTTAAAAGGATTGTTAAAGTAATGTAAATCTGTTTTCAATATTAATTTTTTGAAAAAGACATGTTAATCGTAAAAAAAGTCAATCTTCAATTAGAGGTGTTTTTCCAGCCATGATCATTGCTGAACTGGTTCTATGCTGTTTGTTCAAGTCGCTTTGTTGGACCCACAAGCAGAATTATCCATGTGCTAAATCCATAATGTTGTTATCAAGGACACTGTAATAATTAGGACCTGGCAACTGTTTGTGCCTAGCCTGTATTTTTTCACTGCATTTGGTACGAGGCTGAGCTCTAATGGGTGGTTTAGGGCAATTTGTGATTCCAATTGCATTATTATTTTAAGTCCTAAAGGATTGCATTTATTGAGTAATAAGAGTTATTAACATGATTAGTTAAGCCGTCCTTTTTTAATTTCATCTAATTTGTTTGCATGTTTAGAAAGTAGAAACACAGGTTATGTTTTTGATATTCCTGTATTTTTATTCAAAATTGAGGATGCACAAATATGGAGTTTGGCCGAAAACTGGGACCACAGGTAACTAGGCGCTGTAACAAGGTGAAAACCTTGTTGAATTAGGAGTGTTTGCGTGCAGCTTTAATTAGAGTTAAGTAAAATACGTATGAAATGGTATACTCATTAAAAACATCAAAATATTAGCATTCTATCATATATTTTTTACACTGTTACACTGAGGACACAATAGTCTAGAATCTTGTCATCAAGAAAAGTAGTGCAAGAACTTAAGGATGAGGTTACAGGATGTTTTTATGTGTAGCAGTTGTCTCCCTTTGGCTGGTTGTGCTGTATGTCAATTCCAATCAGTGTTTGGATTTCTTAGGACTGGATACTGCTGTGATCACATAGACCATCACTATCGTTATTGAACTTTCCCTACACCTTGGTCTCAGCAAACATAATTCCATTGTATATAGTAGTGACTACTGTACATACTATTATATGACAAGTCTAACTCAACTGTCTTTAGTCTTATTGAATGACTTTGTGATTAGTACTATACTCTGTACTACGCACCTACATCACTGATGGAGATTCTACTGGTTATATATTTTCTGAAAATTGAAAAAAATATTACTGTACATAATTAATTGGTGTCACTTTCTGATTCCTGAGTGGCAAATGTGTCCAATGAAGCAATACCTAATTATAGCGTTCCTTTCATTACCTCCACTGTTCTGCCGAGGAACGTCTCGTTATGTGGATCGGACTTAGTGTGTTTAGACAAAATGACATAGCCAAGGATGTGACTAATGCTTTCCCTTATTAAAAAACCCATTAATTGTCGGTATTCAAAATGAAGAAAACACACTGTTGGATTTAAAAAACAAGTTCAACATCTTAGTAACTGGAAACTTAACTTGATTAGTACGTGAATACTTTATTACTATTGTGTCTGACCCCATTCATCTTCACCTGTTACAGTAATATCCATTTTGCCACTCTCTCTTTTTTGCTCTATTTTTTCCAATCACTAATGTTTTATTTATTGGGAGATTGAATAACACCGCGAACCCTTTCCATAATGCTTCTCAAAGAATATGTTCATAATTAGTCTAAGATATAGTAGTTTTTGCACCTGTAGTTAGTATTACTACTATTAGTCATAAGACATATTTTGCATAATATTGTTTTCACGAAGGTGTTGTGTAAAGAATATTTCAGTTTTGTTGCTTTTGTTAAACTAGCTGGTATAAAGTGTTGTGTATTGTTTTGCTTTTGTTAAATCATCAATAATCATGGCATCTTCAATTATCCAGTGTATTTATAAAGACTCCATTCTATTATGATTGGTACCCAGGAGCTCTTCCCCACCGTACATTTGTTTTGAGCCTGGTTGATGCATGTCATCGTATCCCAATTGCGTGGATTGATGCTCATGATGTCAATCACTGGATTGTCTGGTCCAGACTCAAATATTTACAGACCGCTGTCATACAGCTGGAATATTACCGAGTGGGGCGTTAAACAACAAACAAAACAAAAACCCAAAACACTGTTGCTACATGATCCAAATGAGCAATACAACTACCAGTGCTCCACTTGATGTGTGCGTTCCGTCTTACATGCAGCCACAACATCTTGTAGCGAAAAGGAAGTCTTTTTTCTCAGGTCACAGCTTTTCCAACTAACGTTTCATTTATGACATCTATGACTCTATTAGCCCTATTGAGGGATCGGGGGCAAGAGTGGCCCAGTCGTCTAAGGCGCCGCGATTCGCTGTGCAGAGTTGCGTCCCTTGGGCACGCCAGAAACCTATGATTGTGGGTTCGAATCCCGGTTCGCCCCGCTTATGTTTCTAGGTTTGTCAGCACCATACCTGTGCTCATGGGTTTCACCGAAGTGGTAAACGTCTGAGACCTGCATCACTTCGGGCTTTCCTCCCACATTAAGCTGACACGCCGTGATATAACTGGAATACTGTTAAAAGCGGCATTAAACCCAACTCACTCACTATCGAGGGATCGCACAGATGAGGCAGCAATGTTTTAATATAGATCAGTACTGGACTCGTATTTTGATTGCTTGTTGATTTCAATCATGAGCAAGAGACACTCTGTGCTAAGTTAGTTATAAGAGCCATGGAGCAGGTGACGTTATTTCCGAAACAAAGCTTCAATGGTGAATGAACAGTATATATCACAACAGAATGGAGAAATTTATACGCTGGGCAATGAAGGATGTATTCCTGGTTGGAGTAACATAAATCTAAAGACAGAGATTGGAAGTGAAAAATGTGAGTGCTTCAAAAATATTTTCTATAATTTCCAAGTGCCTTTTGATATTATACTTTTTCACTGGAAGTTTAGGACACATCTTGTTGCTCTGAAAATGATATGATACTATGGCACTATTCGACTAATGTTACTTGATTGTCTGCACTAATTAATACTGTAATTATTCCTATATTAGTTGGTAATTAATTTGATCTTCCCACAGAATATTTATGTCATGATATAGACTATGCAGTGATATATTCGAATGGGATCGAAATAGCCTGATATGATCTGTTGTATGGAATACTATGTCAGGGTGTCATGGATAACATATCAGTAGTAACACCGTATTCAGAAAGGGAAGTTCAGTATATTGGATTATTTAATGCTTGTAGTCAGAACATACTAAATGTACATCACAAGAAGTGTTTAAGAAACGAATATCAAATGCAAGATGATAATAATAGAAATGTTATCCAACACATAATAACAATAATCTCTCACCCTTTTTTCGTCAGTAAGATTTATAGATCTCTCATTCTCGAAAGGTTTATTACGTAAAGGTGGCATTTGAAATTGTTTAATTAAGCATGGCCATTTTTCATTTGTTTTGCAGATCAACCGTACAAAATTAACAAAATTTTAAAATAGAACAGAAATGGAGTGTTAGACATTCGAAGGATTTTTTTTTCTGTCCTTTTTCTGTTATGTTTGTTAGAAGTTTTTATTTATTTATTTTTGCGGGATGTTTATTTAACCACAATTCAAGGACTATTTGAAATAAGACAAAAACGACAACAAGCCCCTTCAAAATTATACTTTGCATCCTAATGTTACCAAGTTCTCTCTTTCTTTTGCCACTTTATTGCATGTAATTGACCTCTAGTCCGTTCTACTGTCGTTTCATTCCTCCTGCACATTAAAAATAGAAATAGAGTTGGTCATTTCATTTAACTTTTTATATATCATCATTCATGTATCTGAGATATCAAGAACCCTTAGTACAGGAACCTGTTCGTAGCTGCCAAATTTTAACATAGGCTTACGAAAGCCTTATTGCAAAGGTCACTTTCTGGAATGCCACCTTTGTGGGCAATATTATCAACGGAAACGCATTCTTGACAAAATTCCTTCCTTGTTGAGTGGTTCAATTAGGTATTTGAAGAACTTGTAACTGAAATCAGATGTAGCTTACCCAAAAACTTATCATACTGCATACCATTCATTTTACTGCATTTCAAATTTTAGGATTACCTTGTGCAATAGATGGAATTTTACCATTTAACTTACAGTGGCTAATCTTTCAACGCCAAAGTAC